TTATTAATTTTTTTTATTATTACAATTATTTTTACAATTTTATTATTACAAATAAAATATATAATACAATTAATTAACATTTATTAACATTTATTAAGAATAGAAATAATCAAAATTGTCTAATCAGCTAATTAAATAGTATATATTTTAATTAATAAATTTTTATTATTTTTTTACCAATTATAAAATTCTTAAAATACATATATAAATTTGATTTTAGACTTACAACAGTTTCTGTTTCCTAGTTATAATTATAATTACTACAACAATCATTAATAAAACTTTATTATTAATATAAAAAAAATAATTATAATGTAAAATAAGAAATAATTTATTAACAATAAATTTACTTATTTTCAGTTTTTTTTATAATATAAAATATATATTTGTATTACTAAAAATAAGTTGATTAATATTTATATAATATAAATATAATAAAATTATTTGGTATAAATTTTCTTACAGTTTTTAATAAATATAATATATTATTATATTATTAAAAGAAAAATATTTAGTTATTATTATTAATAAAATATATTTTTTGAATAATTAATTTATTTTTTTATTATATTATAAAATATTATAATTTATATAAATTAAATGAACAAATATCTTTAAAAAGTAAAACTTAATTTATTTTTAAAGATTTTATATATTATTTATTACTATAACTATTTAATAACATAGGTCGAATAATGACAAATCAGGTACCAATTGGTTATTATCCAGTAACCCAGATGATAACTAATTAGTACCTGATTTTTTTTATTTAGAAACCCGATTGTTATCGTAAAATAGCGGCAAAGAAGTACAATCAGATTCAAATCAGGACATACAAATCAGGCTCCCATCAGTCACTAATTTGATACCAATAGGATATACTTATTGCTATAAATTTATTTAATTATTAATACACCGATTGATATCTTTCGATCTTCCAATTGATTACAACATCAAATAAAATTTTTCGATTACAAAAAAATTTATTCAATAAATTTATTTATTATTTACTTATTTAGCATTTATTTATAGCAGAAAAAAAATATAAAAAACAAAAAAAAAAAAAAAACTGAAAAAAGCTGAAAAAAAAAATAATTTAAAATTTAAATATTGCATTGATTAATCGTCATCCTTCTCATAATCACTATTATATTCCATCAATACTAAACTTCTACTTCTTCTTTTTTTATTCTCATTATCCTTCTCAAAACTGTCAGCATAGTTTTTATTATGACTATCATCCTCTTCTTCGACATTATTCGTATCTTCACAGATCAGAGAGTAGTTAACATTACTATATCTTCTAACGTATGACTTTAATGATCTGTTGTACCCTGTTCTTGTCTAAGCAGAGGCATTCACAGGTGCCTTTTCTTCATTTGGTACAAATTCAACATAATTATACACCTGTTTTCTCATTCTGCGTACCTTCTAAGCTTGGCTGAATTCAATATTTACGTAATCTCATAAAAAGGTACGCAACTATTAAAAAATATTAATTATACATACTGATTAGAACCAATAATATAATAACATTTCATTATTTATCATTGAAGATTACCACTTAATGTCTCTAATGATGATCTTTCATTTGGGACTTTCGTCATCAGTTTCCAATACCTTTGGACTATGGTATTAATTATCAGTGAGGACTGGTTAGATTTTGTCATTATAAAATTTTCCCAACAACTGATCATCCAGTCTTATTAATTTGCTAATTGTTTTAGCCCATTTTTCTCATTTCTAGATGGCAAAAAAAATTAGATAAGGTTAAAAAACAAATAATATGATCCTTTATTAACCTCTATATATTGCAAATTAGAGTATTTTCTCCTTTTATCATTGTCAGTCCACTCGATGCTTCTTTTTTGGTTTAGAAATTCTTCTCGTTGATGATAGTAGCGTTCACAGATTATATGTTTGATTATGCCATCCACTACCAAAAACATTTTTTTGTTGATCGATTTTTATACTATCAGAATGATTTTTTAGTTGACCAATTTTCGTTAGCTTTCAAACATTTTATTCATGTCTAATTTTTGACTTTTTGGTAGTCTGTCTATAATCCCTAATATTTCAGACTTAATCACAAAAATACATTAACTATTAGCAAAAAAAAATTGATAAGTATAAAACAAATGAAAATAAAGAAAAGATTATCCTTAACGCATTCCTTTATTCCTTATCCATTTCATCATAAAAGAGATAAGTATAAAAGGAAGGAGCAGAAGGAGGAGAATGAGATTATTGGGACAATAATGAGTTTCAGTTGGTCTTTTTCTGATCCTGATTGGAAAGATTTCTTTTAAGTTCAGGTCATCTTTTTCATGTTCGTGATTTTTCCAATTGAGGCCTATTATCAAATGTTCTTTCCTGCCTTCTACCTCTATTATCATATTGTTCAGAAGCAGAATCTGTAATATAAACTGACTTTGACGAATAAGCCTCTTCAGCCATGTTTTTCGAAGAGTCAGGCTGCCCGTATCAAAGTGAAGATATAGAGAAATTTACTTCATCATTTGTCCAATCAATTATTGTGTCTTTTGGGTTTATTTTCTTTTGTTTTCCTCTTGCAATGATCATCATCAAACTTTTAATTTCATCTACTTGGGTCTGTAAAGCATCTATTATTTGAAAATATAATCAGAATGGCCATATGTATTATGATCTAATTAACAATACATGTATTATACAATAAACAATCATACTGATTGATTTTTCTTTCTCTTTCTCTTCCTCTCTTTCTTTCTCTTTTTCTATCTCTTTATCTTTTCCTTTTTCTTGAACTATATTAATCAAACTGTTTTTTTTCTTTTGTTTCAATCGATATGGTTTTTCTTCACGAAACTTCTCAAAATCAGTTTCAGAATCACTAGAATAGAAGAAAATAAAAGAAACTAAAAGTAAATGATAATAAATAAAGAGAAAATATTAAAAATAATTGATTCATAACTAAATATATGGTTTTTTGCCGCTTTTATGTTGTTTCTTTAGAATAGGTTTCTTCAAAGAACTACCTTTTTTTTTATTTGCTAAAATTGATAAAATCCTTTACGTTTATCTTCATCAGAAGACTCTTTATCAGATAAAAGATGTTTATTGGATTTTTGTTAGGCATGTTTTGGAAGATTTTTCTTTTGTTTGGAAGAAACTTTTAATAAAAAAAGAGAATATAGAGTCTTTTTATATGTTTCTAAAGGAGTATCGATAACAAACTTTTAACTACAGAATAACACAGTCATTGGAATAAACTTTCTTTACATTAGTAATAAATCAGAAATTTTAGTTGTAAAAATATTAGTAATTATTGGAAGCAAACTTTCAATAAATCAAATATATTGGTTGTAAAATACTAGTAATCATTGAAAGCAAACTTTCAATGAGATTTTGATAAAAGTACTATTAGTCATTGTAATAAAATTTTTTGAATCAGAAAATTTAGTTTGCAATTGTTGAAATAATAGTCATTAAAAATAAATTTTCTTATGATAGTAATAGATAGGATGGATTGATAAATCTATCTGACTGATTAGTAACGTTTGAACTTTTATTTTATCGCAAATTTCATTTTAACAAATAATGAAATTTTGCGATTCAAATAAACTTTAAACTTTTCATACAAATGATAATTTTACAAAAAGCGCAGTAAAACCAGAATAAATTCAAACCTAATATATTAAATTTTGCCTTTGAGATCAATCATAAAATTAGCATTAGCTACATGTGAGCATATTTTATTGATATTATATACTTAGTGATTTAAATAAAGTATTTTTATACGAAGACATTTTATTGATATCATATACTGATTGATTTAAATAAAGTATTTTTATGTAAATATATTTTATCAATATCATATACTGATTGATTTAAATAAAGTATTTTACTGATATTTATATGCTTGATTCAAATAAAATCTATGCATATATATACCGATTGGAAATAGCTAAATATTATAAATATTTATTTCTTCCTAAATTGAATTTTTTATCAAAAAAATGCCAAAACCAAAGAAACATCATTTTAATAAGGATTATTCAAAAGCTATTCATACTAATACTAAAACTAGAAATTTAGTTGAATACAAATATACATTACATTGTCGTGATAGTAAATGGGTAGATCCTAAAACGTTTGACAGACATCAACCAAAAATAGAATGGTTTTGATATATTACTTCCAGATAGCGTTATTCTTCAACCTCAAGAAGCATTAAAAATAATTCTGTTATAACTGAAACATTATTGGCTTCAAAAAGAAAAAAAGTAATTAAACCGTTAAAACAAAATCACAGTTCATATGAAAATACATCTAATGATGATAAATCAACTCCAACCATTCTAACGGATCAAAATTTAATTGATGTACCAAATAAATGAAAATTTTACATAACAAAATATAATATTCTTGATCATGATAATCCAGAAATTGTTTTAGATCCATCAGACTATAGAGAAGATTATAAAATTCTGATTAATGATAAAGAGTTCTCTACAGAGAAAGATGATCATACTTTGAGTGAAAATAGTGAAGTCGATATCCTGTTTGAGCAATTTACTGCTCCTGATTTTGACAATTTTGATTCTGATTTAGAATATAGATATTCTAATATGAACATTAATTTTGATGATTCATGGATAGTGTTATAGATATTCAAATATTAATTAAGATTCCGCCTTCTAGACACTGCTATTGACACACTTATTAGATTTTTAGAATAGTTTTGTTAGAAACTGATCAGTCACGATTTAAAGGTTTTCTAACAAGTTTTCATATGGCAAGAAAATTATTAGGAGTCAAAAGATAAGAAAAGACATACGCAGTATGTCCAAAATGTAAAGCTTTATATAAAATCTCAGAAATCTTGACAAAAAATGTGACCGATCAGTCGAGCTCTGGATTCAAATGCACCTATGTGGAATTTTCAAATCACCCGAGACATAGCAGGAAACAGCCATGTGGAGCTGAGTTAGTCAAACATGTGCCAGTAGTAAAAGGCCATATCAAAAGACCTAAGATCATCTTTTCCTTACTATCTTTAAGATCACAAATAATTGCAATATACTAGCGTTTAGGTTTTGAATCTCTTCTGAGAAAATGGACAAATTAGAATACTGAGATCGGCTTGATATCAGATATTTATGATGGCAAAATTTGGAAAAATTTCTTTTCATGACTTGATACAAGCGATTCTTGATTTTTCACACTGGAAACAGCCAATCTTCATTTAGGAATTATTATTAATCTTGATTAGTTTCAACCATTCGAATCATTAGCATACAGTAGCAGCATGATTTATGGAGTAATATGTAATCTTCCTCAAGAAGTCAGATTTAAACAAGAGAACATGTTATATCTAAAATTACTACCAGGATCAAGTAAAGTCAAACTACATAGAATTAACCATTATCTCTTCCCGATCATTAATAAACTGTTAGAATTCTAAAATGGGATTAGGCTATTAGCCACATATGATCATCCTACTGGAAGAAATGTTCGATTAGTAATAATATACTGTTCTAATAATATACCAGCAGCAAGAAAGATTTGTGGTCACATATCAGCATTGTCTGCATGCCATAGATGCTATAAAAAAGCAAATACTAGTAGTAATTTTAGTGGGTTTGATAATATGACCAATTGGTTTCAAGAACGTGATCTTGAAGAACATCGATAGAATGCTGAAGGATGGTGATGATGCAAGTCTAACAATGAAAGGAAATAATATGTTTCTACAACACTTGTTAAGTGGTCAGAAATATTAAAATTACTTTATTTCAATCTGATAAGACATGTTATCATCAATCCAATGCATTGTCTTTTTCTTAGAATTGCATAGCTGATTGTTAAAAGATTATAGATCAATAGCGGTAAGCTTACCTAATCAGACCTTGAACTGATGGAAAAAGAGCAAAATCTATTAAAGTTCCAGCTGATTTAGAAAGAATTCCTTACAAGATCACTACTGGTGAAGGGTTTTCTGGTTATACTGCAGATCAATGAAAGTCTTTTATTCTTATTTATACAACTCCATTAATCTGGGATCTTTTATGTACTTCCGATCAAGAGATTCTAGCCAATTTTGTAAGAGCTTGCTTTTTACTTACTTGTCGAATTATTGATAATGATGTATTGAGTGAAGCTCACAATCGATTACTTCAAGTAGTTCTTTTAATTGAAGAACATTATAGGTAGGAGATGATAACTCCAAATATTCATTTATCTTTACATATTGCTGAATGTTACCGTAATTATAGACTATTGTATTCTTTCTGGTGTTATTCATTTGAAAGAATGAATGGATTATTAGGTAAATAATTAAAATTATTATTATCGATACTTTAATTCATATTCAATTACTAATTTTTTGTTCTCTTTAGGTTCTTTTCCAAATAGTTAGCGATGTATTAAACCAGAACTATTGTGTATCATTACACAAAATTCAAGATTGGACGATCTAATTTTCAATCAATTAAATAATCCTAAGCTAACTGAGATGCTCAAATTAGTAAAATCTCGGCCAACAACTAGGAGTTTAGCATCATATGATAGATTTGATTTTGCTGAATTATACCGATTCATGCAAATCTTCTATCATAATCTCGATGATATAATCATTGGTAACGAACAATTCTCTGGAGAAATGATTACACTGAGAAAAAATAATGTCTCTACCAGATGATATTTATAAAATATTGGTTCAATATTATAATAATACATACGATTGAAAGTTTGTGATGATCGCTGAAGCAGCTTCTGATGAATTGGTATCAGAAGACTCTATTATTATATTATCACATATGAATCAATACGAACGCATTCAAATTAGAGCTAAAATTTTTAGAGCAACGATAGCACCAAGATATTTGAAAAATTCGTATGTTATGGCTAAATTTATACTAGACAATGAATCAACAGATATATTTTCCAGTCAAGTCCATTTTATGAAAACCAAATGATATATCCTTACACTGATTGGAAGTTCAATTACATGTGTGAAAAAGAATTAGTATCAGCTAGCGCCTAACTAACAAATGAGATTTCATTATAAAATTAATGATGATAATGATAGTTGTAATATCGAACTTTAGAAAAATGAATGTTATGAAATTGATAGAGATAGTATTATTCTTATTCATAACATTTATAGTCGATTTATACCAGGCAAATTTATAATAGGTAAAAGAAAGCCAGAAATGTATATAGCAGTTATACCCATTAATAGACAATTTAGCTTATAGATATATAGTTAGCTTCCAATCAGTTTCAATATTTATTTTTCTCTATTCTGACGTTAAATATAATTTTTTACAGCATATGTATTATTTTTCATAAAAATCATAGCAAAAGCAAATAGTATTCACACTCTGCAGAGTGAAGCGAAGCATGTATACAAGATATGAAAACAAATAGTGTCTACACTCTGCAGAGCGAAGTGGAGCATGTATACAAGATATGAAAACAAATAGTGTCAACACACTGCGAAGCAAAGCGGAGCATATACACAAAATATGAAAACAAATAGTATCCACACTCTGCGGAGTGAAGCGGAGCATGTATACAAGATATGAAAACAAATAGTGTCCACACTCTGCAGAGTGAAGCGGAGCATATACAAGATATATCGCATAGTTGTAGAGCAAAGCAGAGCATATACCCAAAACATGAAAAAAATCAAGTGATATAAATGATCATACTTATTGTATTCCTGTCACTAGCCCGTCACTAGCCCAAATTTTCACAAGCTTTTGATGCTGATAAAAATCTCGAATGCGATATTTACCTGCATGTTTCCTACAAGCACTATAAATAGAGAAAGTTAATTTTCCGCATTCTATACACGAAATTCGTCTAGGAGATTTCCAATAGACTTTATACCCTTCCGGACGATAGCACCCTCATTACACACTTCTCCAGTCCTAAAAATATATGGACATTTATAAAACCCCATTCCAATAGTCTTTTCTTTTTGAATAAATATGTAACTCTAATTATCTGAATAAATTAATTTTCATTTTAAACTTTTTGTAACCATATATACTCTTTGAGAAAAAATGAGCGGAATACTAGATAGTATCACCAGTGCATTAGGATGATTATTCAGAAACTTTTGGGAGACCCGACAACACCTGAGTTACCTGAGGCAACCGAACCTCCCAAACTAGAAGAAGAGCTAGAGGTGGAGTCAGATGGGAAGAGCGACTATGAGACCGTCTTAACTTGTCAAAATACTCAAAATACTAAAACTAGATGGTATTCAGCAATTCAAAGGTTTCTGTTCTGGGAAAAGAAAGGTAACAATGTTGAGTTCTATGATGGAAGTATACAATAGACTGGTTCTGAAAGTGACTTCCGAGATTTATCACGAGACTGGTTTCTAATCAAAGGCAATCAAAATGAGACACTCCAGGAAGTTCATAAATAATATAACGAAGAAGCCAGCGCAATCACATGGCGGAGTATAGGACAGATTGATTTATGAAAAACTGGTACATACGCTATGACAAGTTTGCATTTCTTTTAAGATGTCTCTAGTGCTCCTAGAAAAGCAGAAGACTTATCACAAGAAGAAGACCATTGGATAAGATCAGCATACACAAGAGCTTTAACATGGACTAAGCCATATGAAGGAATTGCGACCGAATTGGATTTCAATGAATATTATCTACATATCTTATCTAGTTATATATCAGGCTGGCCAGTAAGAGCAGGAGAATTTAAAACAGTTACACATATTAATAATTCAAAGTATGGTATTTATCGAGTCTTCATAAAAGGTCAACCAGTAGAACAAAAATGTATAAGAGGATTTCGTTATAATCCTGCAGGATATTACACTCACTATGATTTGTTAACAGCAATGG